GCAAATATTTTATTTTTCATTGTGAAGGTAATCTATGTAAATAATGATGTTTGATGAAAATGGGCTGCGCAAACACACTCACCCAACATAATAATTGGCTTCGTTTTGCAGATTGGTGCGAACATCGTTGAAAAGACACCACATCGCGTTGCTCCCTCCATAGAATTGCTGAGATTTGTTCGCCCATGCGCAAATATTTACACTTGAATAACATTTTTGTTTCATCGCATGTACAATTACGAATGCATTGAAAGTGTGCGTATGTTTTGTTTTCTTTTTCATTATCAATTTACGAAATGCGTTTTTTTTCCTTGAGTGCTTCGCTCAAATCGATCAAATTGCAACACATGCAACACACAATAAAATCGAAATGAAGAAGAAATGCATTGTGTGTTTTTGTCTACATCACTTTGGTGATATAAACGAAAAGTTGAAGATAAAAATGGCAGTAATTATAGATTTACTGAATACAGTGAGCACAAACTTTGAAATGGGAAAAGCAAGCAAATTGCATGTGTGATTGATGCCATTCGTTGATGAAAAGAAAAATCAACTTATTCGATAGAAGAAGTTCGAATCGCACTATTTACCGACCTTTAAAGACGGCTTCACTGTAAATTCATCAATATATTTTCTGACGGGATAATGAATGCTGAAAATACACAAAAAAACAACAACGACTACAGCGAACAAAGACAATAGCATTCCGAACAATTGTGAAAAATTACAAGTGCAAAGAAAAGTTCATGAAAAAAGAAAGAGAGAGAGAGAGAGAGAGAGAAACCGAATGTGTGTGTGTAAAGTTGCACTTTCCATAATATATTAATTCGATACAATGTTAGTTTTGTGAAATGAGAATTACTCATTCGCATTGTAAATCCCGTCAGCAGACCATTTCTTTTCACACTTGCTTCATTTTGGTTGGTGCTCTTTTTTCATCTTTCTCTTTTTTCCGCCGATAGATTATGTTTATGAAAATTGTCTTTAACTGCGCTCTTGTCAGCCCATTCGCATTTGAAATGCATCGGAGATGAAGAAAAAAGCAACTCTAATTAAATATTCTATTTAGCATATGAATGCCTCAAATCAAACGTTGAACGCGAATGAAATTCATGTTTGGCATATTGTTTGGTGTGTTCGTGTGCGTTTTCGTGATGGGTGTTTTCATTAGCAAATCTTTTCAATTTCTTTTCTTCTTCTTCTCACTCACATCAATCGAACTCACACATGCTGCATGCATATTATTGTGTGTGCGAGCTCGCGCGTTCGTACGCTGCTCTCACCGATGTTGAAGAGTGCGATATGTTGCAAATCATGTGATTTTCAATCGGTTTTCATTTGAATCTCTATTTTTTTTTTTTGTTGCTGTTTCGTGTAAATTTACTAGAGCACACACTTGAAATCCAACTCTCGCATCTCGCACTTTCATCAAGTGGCCACGATGATTCTCGAATTATGCAAACAAACTTATCCACATCTGTTGTTGTTGTTTTTTTTTACTTTTTTCTTCCTTTGCCTCTATCATCATGTAATTTTTGCGATGAATTGCGAACATGCAAAGAGAAACTCTTTTTGTGGAGTACAACCGTTTGTTGTGTGCTTTGTTGTTCTCCTTCTCCCTGTCTCTCTCTCTCTCTCTCTCTCTCTCTCTCTGTATCTTTGCAACCGCGAATAAAATAAACGATTGTTGAACTAATTCTAAAATACACATGGCAATAAAACTGAATATTCCAGCTACAAGGGAAAAAAAAGTTTAAAGAAAGAAACTTAGAAGCAGATTTAAAGAGAACAAAAAAGAGAAGCGCCCTTTGTTTGTGCCGTGCAAACGGCGTGCATGAATTTGCGCATTCGTCACAGCAAGCGCATACCAAACTGAATATGTGTAACTAATTCGATATTAATCCGATGCAAACATTCCGTGTGTATCGTTGATGTATTTTCCTCTTCTTTTTTCATTTGCAAATTTTATTATTTATTTTATTGAAATCGAAGAAACGCTCTTGAATCGTGTACTTATGTGCCGATGTGTGTGTATGTCTCATGTTTTGTTTTCATTCCATTCTGCTTTCAGATCGATTCAAATATATATGTATTCTCCATGGTCTATTGTTATTGATATCGCCTATGTCTGGCTTATTTCGGTTTTTCTTTTTTATTTCTCTTCAATTTTGATCTTTTGCTCACATCTTGTGGCGTCGTCGACATCATCGTCATCATCATAAAACATCAGCTTTTTGCATTGAAAATGAAATATTTGCGTTGCGTTTAGTGTTGTTTAGCTATTTGATTAGTCAAACCGATCGTTTATTGCGTTTACTAAGAATTGAAGAAAAAAAAATCGATATTACGCGAATGAAAATAATGAACAACAGCAACAACAAAAAATAATGGTTTGCCACGCTTTTTTGACTATGTTCTTTTTCATTATTACAATGTTTGAACGATTTAAAATGTTATAAAAATATCCATAAACATTATGATACGAGAAAAATATTTGAAGAGAGCTTTTTTTTCAATGTTGTATGAATAACGGTTTCGGGTTCGCATCAGCTGAAAACAAAACATAATACACAAACGAAATATGTTCAGCATCGGTAGCAAAATTTCAAAAGAAAATCCAATCACACACACACACCGGCAATTCAAAGTGATCGATTGGTTGAGAAATGGTGTATTTAAAAATGAAAATAAAGAAAAATGAATAGAGCTGAAGAAAGAGAGAAAGAGAGAGAAATGAAGCAACGGCTTTTCGCATGGAGAGTATAGCAATCAAATATACAACATAAAACTTGAATTCCGTATGCGAGCGTATGCGCGCGTGCGCTCACACTCCAACAAGCAGTAGTGTGATTCAGATTAAAAAGCTGAACGAAATAACTTTATACATATACAAAAAAAACGGTTATCTATCACCCATTCAACGCAATGTGCTCGAGAGACTCAATTTCAGCAATATGTATCAATAGCATCACGAAAAACCAACAACAAACAACAAGAAGTTTGAACGAACTAACGAAAAAAAATCGCATTTTACCGTAACTTATTCGAGTTATATTGTGTGTCGATACCAGAGAGAAAGAGAGTAGTAAATAAGAATTTAAAAAACCATATGTGCGGATCACATAATAGACAAATATACGCTATTACGCTATCTGTTTGTGCAACACAATGAGAAATTCGCTAGGCTTAGAAGGAAAAAAACAAGAATCTGGCAATAGGCCAACATTGAAGCGACAGGTCCACCGATCGCTAAATACAACACAGAGAGGAATAACGAACAAGCCAATTCTGGCCGTTATTTGTGTGTGGCTTTGTCTCTCTATCTCCTTTTTTTCTGTTTCGCCAAACATTTATTTTCCCAGCCATTTTTCAAAAGAAACCATATTTAATAAAATTTTTGGCGGTTTTGTTCGCCTGAACTATATTGCCATTGTTGGCTGACCAATTTTTAAATTAATTTATCACATACGAGCGCATTTTTCTTGTTTTGTTTTTCTCGAGTCAATTCATATTGCGGCCGCCGCATGCCTAGAGACATTTCAGAGCTCATAATGAAGTTGTTAGCAAATACAAATTAGACAATTGGATGAGATTCTTCGAGTTTGAGTCTGAATTGTTGTTGCTCTCTTTGTCTTCTTTTTTGGCACAATCGAGATGTTGTTTCCACTACTGTATATCTACTTAATTTGTTGTTTTCTACTTACTATTTTATTTGCTTCTTTTCTTTCTTAATGTGACTTTTATTCATTCTTTTGATACGATTAACTTAAGCCATAGATCAAAGTAGTGCGGAAAAATTCACATTTTGTTGAGCATTGGCGCATATCAAACAACAATGAAACGCCACAACGAAATATGTGCGATGCGGAAACAATGACAACTCATCAAAACAGTATCGCAACATTTCACTTGACTTTTCTTCTTTTTTTTTCTTCATAAATTACGTTGTTTTATTTTTCGACATTTTGGATGATTCTCTGCACAACGATGAAAAGTTCAATAATTAAAAAAACACAGCGACGTTGATGTAGCGAAAAATTTGCCAACATGCGCGAAAGTCATAGTGAACTAATTCTGATGTTGTTAATCATCGAATTGAATGTGATGAGATAGAGAAAATGAAGTGAAATTCAGATGAAAACAAAAAACACAGAAGAAGAAAAACACTCAGACTGAAAAGAAATGCACTTGATGATCGATTGTTCATGAAAGTTAATAACATTTAGGGTTAATGAAGAGATGTGCAGTCATTGTGAATTATTATTATTTTTGGTTGTTCGTGCCGATGCAATCGCACAAAACATACAAACACATTGCACCGATTTACACGCAACTGATCAAATGATGACATTTATGGTGCGATTGCGTGCCGACATCAAAACATATTCGACTCTGGCTTCGGGTGCAAATCAGTCACAACAACAATGGCAACGAAAGAAAAAAAAACAGTTTCAACAACATTAGCACAAGCCACAGCAGCAACAACATTTTCGTATTGAGTAAAACAAAAGACATTTAAATGGTGTTAAACAGTCGAACGCTTAAACGTGATGACATCTTCATCTGAATAATGAGGTGTTGTACTCAAACATGCAATTCATTTTGTAATATAACAACAGAGATACTTAAATGCCGACACAACAGAAAAAAACAACACGTTCGCAACACATTCGATGAAATCAAAGAAACACAAACAGAGACACAGAATCAATGTGTGAAATGTGCGCACCTCTTTTGTTTATGTGCACCTTTCATTTGTAGTTGTTCATTTAATGTCCGAAAATTCTTGGCAACGTCATAAAAATGCGAAATTTAACATTCACTCAAAGTTGATACCGTTCTTCATTTTGATTCAAACTGTACCTTCATGGAAATGAACGAGATTCATATCGATGATGTGGAGGCGCAATTGGTATAAACAACAAAAGAGCGAAATCAACGACAATAATCTAATCAAATGGCAAAGGAAAATGTGAAATGCGAAGAAAAAAATCACTTACCTCAATGAAGATTACGGATGAAACGGATAATTTCACAATAAAATGAAGAAATAAAATGATTTTGAATTGGGGGCTATAATGTCGTCACTCTTTTTTTCCTTTTCTCTCTCTCTCTCGATCAAATTGTAGTAGTTCTATTCTCAATGATATCACGAATCAATTTTTTGTTTCAATTTATTTCACTATTTTCATTTTCTTCTTTCGCTTCTTTCTTCTTTTGTTTCAATTTCTCTCTCTTTCTCTCTCTCTTTCTCACTTTCTGCGTGTGTAATTCATCAACTTTACACTTTTAGTTCACGAAAAAGGTCTCAACGTATCTCGATTGCAATTCAATTTTTCATTCAATTCGGTTTTACGTTTAATGAGAATCAATCATGGTGTTGCGTTTTATTTTGTACGCTCGTTCACTCATACGTTCATTTGCAATCAAACGTCGTTTTCCATGTTGGTTTGAAAATTGGTTAGCGGGCGGTTATTATTTATTATCATCAGTTTTATTCACTTAACGTTTTTATTTTCTCGCCCAGTATCTCTAGCTCACATCGGTATACTGTTTTTTTTTTATTTCTCGTTCACGATTTGCATTTTCATTGTAAAATATTGGAATCACCACTGCAATAGTCGGTTGTTTAAATCATTCAATGGTAAATTTTTCGCGGTTATCGGTAATTGATCAAAGAACAAACGCGCGAACTCTTTCAAAAAGGTCTAGAATCCCATACACGTATTTCCGAAGAAATTACAAATGATGCACGTACTGCCCATACATTGAATTCGAAATATGAATACAATATTGATGTGCCACACTGATTGATATTGTGCATTTACGGTGCCAACCATGCAAATTTTTTAATGATACTTTATACAACGAATAAAATAGCAATTTTTACACCTTTTCTGTTGAACGATACGAATTCATCGAAATGTTCGATGTTCTCGAGAACCACACAGTGTACGCACTGTGTCAAGAACGGAATTGATCGATCTGTTTTCGAACCGCTGATGCTCCGAGCGAAGAGAAACAGCCTGCATGCGCACACTAGACGTGTTTATTGGTTCACCGCACAAAACGTACTGAATGAAGCAAAGAGACCAGACAACAGTTATGAGTTGTGTGCTGTTCAAATCAAACGGCCGCAACAGCGGCTACCATTCAAATGGATTTATATTTTGTTCGCTCGCTCTCATGCTCGCGTTCACCGTGTACGTTACAGCAGCAACAGCGTTCACACATGGTTTTCGCCAGCTCCATACATTCGTTCATTTTTCTTTCTCTTCATTTTGGCTGTTTCTCTATATCATCTGCACGCAATGCACAATATTTGGTCCGAACGCATGTTTTCAGCTTGTGTTTATACCGATAATCTTCGTATGTCTTTCACTCTTTGAGATGAGACTTACATCGCTAATCGTGCGCATTATGTTCCATTCTATCAAGCATAAATAGCCGCGAATGTTTCGAAGCTCTTTTTATCACTATAATGAGCGGACAGGGAAAAAAAACAACGCTCATTTGTGAGCACCGTTGTTTGGCAAAGTTTACGTTCTTCACATCGTTGATTCCGTCAAACTGCATCAATTAAGATCATTCGGCAAAACGAGTACTTCGCTATGACGTCGATTATAAATTTCTCCACATACTTGTGGCTTATCTTCGATACTCTTCCAAATTGCCGATTTTTTGTCACACACCACACACACACACATTCATTTATTCCATGTTCAATAAATGTTGAATCTTTTTCAATTTTCCATTATGAACAAAGAAAAATTGATTTAAACGGTATGATAGCCTTTGACCATAAATAAAATCAATACTTAATAATAAACTCATCGATGCATCATTCAACGCATTCGCGCAAAACATCAATTTCGCTGATAGATTATTATGTAAGTGTGTTTGTTGTTTTTTGTCATTACTTTTAATCTTTCTAATAAAAAAAAATATTGAAAACGGTTCTTTGCCTTTGTAAAACGGTAAATTGACATTAAAATCAGCTGCTATATGGCTGCTTTCATGTACGTTCCAATGTGTCCCAATCGATAAATGAAGTTTACGACATATGCATCTTTTAATCAATTTTTTATTCTGTTCATAAGACGAGAAAAAAGCATTTTCAGCATCACACACCAGAGTTTTGTTTCAATACCTTTTTCCAGTGTCCCGTTTTTATTATCGCAACGAAAGACTTCGTTTATCTTCCAAAAATATTCAAAATTACCCAAGCGACGAACCCAACTTTTCGAAAAAGCATATCATCACTTCAATTGGTATGAGAAAATGAACGCTTTTTCTGACACTTTTAATAAAACTTTGGCGTAAAGTACAAATAGGATGCACTTTAAGTTTGCCAATACTTAAGTTTTTAATGTTGTTTAAGATCCAGCAGAAAAAAAGCTTTTTGCCGATCAACAAAGCTTGAAAAAAAGCACTCAAAAGCTCTACGCAAACATAAAATAATGTTGAAAGCTCTTACCTCTCACAAAACGAAAGTCTCAAGTCGGTTCTCCCGAACAGTGGATTTGTTTTACTATTTGGTTTTCCATCGCAATGGATGCATGTACAAAATGAATACTGGGATCCATATACGCTCGATCCGCCTTCAATGCCAAATCCATCGTCGTCGAAATAGCTACGTGGTGCACCCGAATCATCTGATACACTGCGAGATGATCTAGACCTATCGAGTTAAACAAATTAGCATTTTATTACTATAAATTATGAAAGTAAAATAAAAGGCGATTTTATATGCACTTCCGAAAAAGTGCCCATCAAACGACAGGATTGAACAACAGTCGAGTAAAAAATAGAAGTGACTAGACTTGACTGGGACCAAATAATATCTACCTCAATCTAAAGTTGATTAAGACAAAGTACCACTACATTTTTAATATATTTTGTATTATAAAGTTGGATGTGATGGCCAAGAATAACATAATAAATTGAACTGAAGTTTTTTTGACTAAATACTGAAGATTTTGAAGAAAAAAACACCAACACCTGCTTCCGAATTTTTACATAAAAGCGCACGTGCTTTTCTCTTAATTGCTGAGCGCGCGCGTGTACGATTCATTCGAAATGATTAAATCGATGTATAATTGATTGTGCGTAGTGTATATTTTGCATTTTAAATTTAAAGAACAGAGAGGGAGAGCAAGCGAAAAAGAACATGAATCATCCGTGGCAGTGGTACGCGTATCGTTTGCGATGCTACATTCGCATTGAACGAAAATGTGTGCCGAACAAAGTAAATAATTGTAGATAATAAAAGATTTATCGATTTATTCATTGTAGATTGTGGCTTGATGCCGAAGATTGTTCGTAGCGGTGAGATTTACGATAGAGAGCTAATCACTGTTTTCCGCATGAAAACCAATAATCAAGTGAAATAAAAAAGCGAACTTCATTTTTTATTATCATTATTCCAATAAAATAGTGCACTGAATCGATTCTCTGAACTCATTAATGGAATAAAACAAAAAAAAAAAAAAAGACTGCGACCGAATTGAAAATGTTTGCATTGCAAACTTTGACGTCAAATCACACTGCAACTGGTGTGTGGGCGTGACCGTAGTAATTTTGTGTTATAAAAATGTGAGACAAATAGAGAGAATAGGAAGGAGATCATATTTTATTTTATTTTTATGTTGTAACGGTCGGTTACTTTGTTTAATCATCATAAGGGCTCAGTGATGAAGCGTTTTCACACCTCGAACCATCGAGTCCAAGGGAAAACCCGTACTTAAATCGACAAGAGTAAAATCTTCAATGTTAAAATTTTCATCTAAAAATTCGCTTTTTTCGCTGTCTCATTCGCTCTTACCGCACACTCGTAACCTTAGCAACAACATTGAAGCAAAATTCGAAAGAAATAAAAAATAAATAAAATGAACATAATTCAGTCCAAATATCTTGGTCAATGCTTTGATTGTGGCTATCGAACCATGTGCGGGTGGTGTAATTTTTTTGTCGATTTTGATCAACGAAAAACACACACCAACAACCAACTTATGCTTGTAATTTGAATGAATTTGATCGTTATACAATTACATATAGATGTTGTTTCAATGCCGCATTCGAATGCATAACATTTGTTTGCGAGGAAGACATAGACCAGTGTGTAAGAGCAAATACATGAGAAACGTACATAATATATATATATATTTTAATGGTTCACGCACATATGCTGCCTCATATTCAATATAATTGCTAATTAAACCGGAAAAATTACACTTAAAAATCGAATAGCATAACCATATGGTGCTGAAATCAAACGAAAATCCACACACAAACCCATTATCAACTAAACAATTCTTCACCATTGTACGATGGTTGTGTGAATTCTTGGTTGGATTAGGTTTTTTTGCGGTTGTTTTGATTATTATTTATTTTTTTCGTTGGAATAGTGCAAATTTCCGACACTATTCGCAACCAATTGTTTATACTTGATAAGAGAAATTGATCTATGCAAATCATGATTGATGACAAACTTCTTTGTAATCGTTAAACTCGCGGTAAAGTTGCTGGGATTGACATCAGCGATTCTGGAAAGACCCGTTGTATCAACGACTTTGAAATTGAGAAAAGAAAACTGGTAATAAGTCGGCAGTTATAGAAAAATGAGATTTGCTTGAGAAAATTACGGGTTTCATGGATATACACAATTGCTGTTTTTATCAATTTAACGCCTAATTCAACCGGTACCTAATTTACAAAGAACGGCTCGATGTTATCTATTCTGTGATTGATTGATTGATTGATATGGAACATCTACCATGGTAGCATGCATGCTTCTTTAACATGCTTAATGTTATAACATTCGGACGTATTCTACCTGATTATGTTGTAATCCATCATAACAACTGAAAAAAATATGGTATATGCATATTTGATGTGCTTGTCATCGATATGGTTATACACTTTTTTCAAGTTGTTTTTTTTTTACATTACATGATAACAATACTATGATGTCACATAATCAAGAGACTTTTTGTTGGAATTTTCACTCATTTCTCATTCATTCCTCAGTCCATATTTGGATTCGAAATGTAAACAATCGTTTATAAAAAAAATGCAAAACGTAATGCAGCTTAAAGTGGAAAATGTAAACAATTATTGAAAATACATCGAGATTGAATTTAAAAAAAATGCTGTTTTATTCTCACAAAGTGTAATTTCATCGTGATTGCTCTCAATTATAGGAGATTGCATAAAGAAATGAAAAAATGGCGATTTAGTGTTAAAAATCGTTGAAACTTCATTCATAAAGCAAATATGATTCTCTCTCTCTCTCTCCCTCTCTTTGCATGATTTTCACACTTCGTTTCAAAATACTATATTTAACCATTTATAAAATTGCAATATTATGTGTGAGTGTGTGTACTTGCCTTTTGTTTTTTATGTCGACAGTTTCCACCATAATATTCCATGTTCGATGTATAAGATAGAGTAAGAAGAGAACGCGAGAACTTTCCGGTGCAGCTGAATCGCTTTTCTTGCTTTTTGAGCTGCGACCGCCGAGTGTCGATGTCCGACATTCATTGAATGCACCGCTTGGATTATACGTCGTCGGCATTGAATTGCCCATTATTTCGTTGCTGTTTTTTCTTCTTCTCTCAATCCAATTTATGCTTGTCTAATCGGTTTTGCTTTGTTTCCTTCAATTCAGCTTACCAATTATGGTTGTTGCTTTGTTTTTGCATTTAAAATGCACAATTTTTGTCTAAACGGTGTGCTTTCGATGTGGTTTTGGTTAGCATTTTCTTTTTGTTCTCGAAATGTGTTAGATTTTTCGGTGTTTAAGTCATGGTTTGACTTTCCACTTTCCAAACGGCGTTTGTCTTCTTAATTACTCTTAATTTTGACATTCATCCTCACGGTAGAATCACAAATTTTATGCGCTGCAAAAATGAAAAAGATGATGAATAAAAATTCAAATAAAATATCACTTGGCACAAATCTCAATTCTGGCTCTTTGGTTTGTAGCACAAAAAAATGAAGGTTGTGTCTTCGAGTGAAGAAGTAAGAAATGGGAACAGAAAATAGAATGAAAG